GACTGCGGCTGGGACTGCGGCTGGGACTGCGGCTGGGACTGCGGCTGCGGCTGCGGCTGGGACTGCGGCTGGGACTGCGGCTGGGACTGCGGCTGTGCCTGTGCCTGTGACTGCGGCTGTGGCTGTGCCTGTGACTGCGGCTGCGATTCCATTTCGTGACCATTTGGTGAACCCTTAGAGACAACCAAGTTGCCACCTGTTTCGTCGCTTCGTGATCGTTTCAATGRCTGGGATTCCATTTCCCGAGCATCACTYKTGCCGTCCGGGCAACTCCTCTTGTTGTCTGTGGTTGTGGTTGCGTCTTGCTCCTTCTGATCTGGAGGAACTTCTGGGTTCTTGCGTTGCGAATCAATATCCACGTTCGGTGGAGTTTCTGGTTTGTGGCCCTGTCGATTCTTGTCCTCGTTCGTTCGACTCGCATCCTTTWCGGAAAGATCAGGAACGTTCTCCGACAGACCCTGCTCCCCCTTGTGATTTGCGTTGTCCCCCTCGTGGTCTGTGCTGCTCGTCTCCTTTTCCTGCCCTGCGCATGGATTGGCCGATTGCTCGTCGTCTGTAGCCACACGGTTCAAAGTCCCGTCTGGACCTTGGCAATTTCTGGATGCTTCTGCCGAAGCGGCCGCGCCAGCGGCTGCTCCTGTCGTTCCCGTGGCTGCGGTTGTAGGATCCGATCCCCTTGCCTTGCGAGAAGCCCGCGGTGGGAAATCCTTTTGAATCAGAGCGGAAAGCWTGATTCTCGGACCCTCGGTGAAATGGTTCGTGTTCCATGCCAAGAACCCGTCCACTAGTCCAACCCTCGGAGCGTGCTCTTCCTCTATGACTTTGCTCGAAAGCGCCGGCGAACCCTCGAGGGATTCCTTGGAGGCCTTGTCGTGCGAAGGGGAGGCTACCGTGTTTGGCGACGCCGCTGCCGTTGGTTCGGTTCCGTCCGCGGCAACCCCCGGGGCGACGGTGCCACTGGTCGCGGTCGAGGCCCCGCTGGCTGCCCTTGCGGGTGATTTGGGTCCCATCGAGGGAGCCCAGCACCGGTACGCCGTGTAACACTCCCTGAATTCGTGCCATCTGGGGTCCAGAATGTCGGGGAACCCGTGCTCCAACCGGAAGCGGACGTAGGCTCGGGCCTCTTCCGCGGTCGTCCTGTAGGTCCGGGAGGTTTTCTTCTTGAGGGTGGCGGCTTTCAGGAAGGACCCCCCGCACGCCTGGACCTCCTCGAGGATGCTTCGGACGATCGCGGTATCTTTTCCGTTGCTCTCGGAGGAACCAATGTACGCGTGTCGCCGGTCCGAGACGAGTTTGAAAAAATGTCGGTTTCCCCTCAGTTTGTGGAGAGACCGGGCCAGGTCGGACGGGCATCGGTCGCATGCCATGACGACATCGTTGGGTGTCACTTCGCGGAGAGTGACATCGATGGGGAAGGACGACGGTGGCCGTCCCTGTTTTGGTTTGTGCGTTGGTTTGGGCGGTGCCTCGTTTTCTTTCAGGTACGGTACACCCCGGGGGCACCGTACGAGCTGGTGGGGTTGAACGGGAACACAGTAATCCAGGTTTGGCTTGGAGGGCGGAAGGGGTGGATGTGTCGTTTCGTAAAAATAAGGACCTTTGCGGSGTTCTCGATGCGCCGTGGCCGCATCCGACGGCCCGGTTGGTGGTCCCCCGCCGCGGGGGTTGGGAAAGATCCTCTGCGAGCGGAAATATTCATCGGCTTCGTCGTCGTCGTCGGAATCGTAGAGCGGATTGAAGACAGAGAAAGTCGTGTCCTCCCATCCGTTCTCGTACATCCCGACGAGATGATCGAAGGGTATCCGTTTGTTTCTCGGAAATATCTGGGGTTGCCGCACACGCGGTGCCTTTGGTGCTTGTTGCTGCTGCTGTTGTTGTTGCCGCTGCTGTTGCTGCCGCTTCAGTTGTTCCTTCAGCTGCCGCATCTCCTGGTTCTTTTTTTGTTCCATCAGGAATTCCCGCTTTCGCCATTCCGCCAACTTTTCTTCAGAATGCTTGTTCTGGAATTCCTCGAGCTGTTGCTCGATCTGTCGCCGCCGCATCATCTCCTGCTCCCGTTGTTTTTGCCGAACAAAGGCTTGCTGCTGGCGCTGCGCGAGGATTTGTCGATGTGCTTCCTGCCTCTGCTGCAGCAGCAGCTGCTGCCGCATCATGTATCCTTGTCCTCCCTGATAGTGTCCGTTCGCAATGAGATTTCCCAAGAGTTGTCGCTTCGCCATTTCGTCCGCCAGGCCACGGGGTGCAACCACCGGAGGATTCGTTGTGGCTGGTGGCGGAATCACCGGCACGGGATTGCCGGCGGCCTTGTTCTGCGAGGCCAAAGATACTCCCCGATTGTGGGTGGGTGGTTGTGGCGCTTGCGCCGACCCTTGTGTTGGTGCGGCCGGGTGCGAGGCCGGGATGCCGCTTCGTGGATTCGGTTGTCGGTATTGTACCGGTACGTTTGCGGCAGCAAGGGACGGCCCGGGGCGGCCGATCGCGGGGTTTGGTCGGTTCGACGGCGTTGGCACCGACCGCGGTCGGCCTCCGTGCTTCTGTTTCTCGTATTCTTCGGCCCACGCCTTGCAAAAGGCCGCCAGGTTCTTGTCCTTCCTGTTGTACCGGTGGTCGAAGAGGGTCTTCACCTCCGGCCCGTGCGCACGCCTTGCGGTTTCGCAACTCCTTTCGAGGTGCTGGAGCCTCTGGTGGATGGCACTTTCGACAACGCCTGGAATTAAACACGGCTCGCCGACCTGAAGGAACGTGATGCAGCCCTTGACGTGGTCCGGGCGGGTCTCGCAATAGGCGCACTTGAATGCCACCAAGCGCAGGGGCGTGCTGACCATCTTTGGGTTTTTCTGCTTCAGGAGATCGATGTAGTAGCGGGCCTTCGGTGTGTAGGAATAGTCTTGC